GTTAGTTTAACTTGCCTAAAGAAATTTCCAGCTTATGTGCATAAATTTCAGTTTAGGGTTTTCAATTTGGGCTTGATTGTGGTTGGTTTTGGAGCCATCAATTGGCTAAAATTAACGGGTGTTGTGACCCTAATTAAGTGTGTTTAATAGCTTATGATTTGTATGTACAATTGAGGCTATTTTGGGTGAACTTTGGTGTTGATTGTAGGATGGAAAAGTAAAGAAATTAAGAGGAGGTGCTGCTGAAATTTTGTATGCAGGAACCCTTGGGCAGCCTTAGGAAATCTGTTGTATCTTGTTGTAGAAAAGTCAAAATTTAGTTCTGTTTATTGTGTTTGAAACTAGAATCAGAATACTCAACTGTGAAAATTTCAGCCTTTTTCTCAATTCCCATGAATATCTGTGATTTTTCAAAGTTGACTGAAATTGCATACCAGTTCTGTCTTTTACTGGATAAAGTAGCAAATTGAGGCTCGAATTTGAGTGATTTATGGACTGAATCAGTTTTTGGACAAAACATGAAAGTTATAGGGATTTGAGTTAACTTTCTGCCTAAAAAATTTCAGATCAATTAGATCATTTTAGCTTATGATTTGGCCAGAGCATTCCTGACTGCACAAAATCTCTAATTTTCCTGACCTATTTTTCATGTGCTTCTAACCATCCATTTTGACCCTGAAAATGCGAGAAGTGGGTGTCGATGTCTTCATAAGAAATGTAGGTTTATGTCTTAGATTTGAAACGCCATAAAATTTACCTCAATCCGATAAGTTTAGCTTCAGTTTTGATCAAAACACCAAAGAATGGCAAAACTACCATCTTCATTGTTTCTCGTTGCCTTTCTCTTGTTTTCCGTTTCCTTGGTCCAACTTAACATGTACTTTTCAAGTGTTCTAAACCTGATTTTTAACATTCTAAACAAGTATTCAAAACATGATTTTTAGTTGCACATATTAGCTTTGAACTTAACCATTTTTTATTATTTTCTTTTACAAACTATGTGTGCACCTTGCCTATATGACTTACTATACCTTTCATGCCTTTTTTCTTTGATATAGATATATAAATTATGCAGCTTACACTCGTGTATGATTGGCTCTTTGTGAACAATATTTGATTGCAGATTTCGAGAGTGGCCAAGGTGCCAGCCCATAACTGAATTTTGATAAAACGTGACTTATTTAAGGTGAGTGTTCCTTGTGTGTTTGTACAATAAGTGACTATATGACTATTTGTGAATGTTTGCTTGAATGTTAAATGCTTTTCAAGGATTGCTAAAGAGATTTTCGATGGGTGAGTGTGTACTTTAACACACTTGACTCAAGCCAAAGTGAAATTTCAATGATTGAATGCTACTTGTGCATTAATGTAAGTCTTTTGGTTAAACTGGGTCATTGCCCTTCGTTGCCAGTCGACTCGAGCCAAAAATGGACTCGATCGAGTGACTGGTGACCCTGGGATAGTGTTTGGATATACTCGAGTATGACCACGAAAGTTGGTGGAGAACTGGCCAGTGAATTGGCTAGTGGCGGGAAATGAAATAAATGAATTGAAATATTGAAGTAAAGGGAAAAGATAAATGATTGAATAAAGGAAAATGACTGGCGGAATGAACGAATGGCTCCACGTGAGCATGTATCCTTTTAATGAGTGTGTTCTCATTACTTTTATTTTGTGAATGTTTTCTCGATTGATTGTTATTAAATGACTAATATCCTTGTTTCAATTGCTTTGTTATGTATATGGGAATCTCACTGAGTTTTAGCTCACCTCTCTATTCCGTTAAATTTGTTAGCCTTATAGGGTTTGAGAGCAAGAACGGGTGATTAGTGGAAGACTAAACTTTTGACTAAAACTTTTGTTGTGTAACAGTGATAGTTTAGTAGTTGGTTGGATTCTAAACTTTTGTACTTAACCTTGAGGATTGTATATATGTATTAATGATTGTATATATGTTAAGTTTGATTGGCACATGTTTACTTACTCTTGAGAGTTGATTGAGTGAGTGAGTGAGTCCTGACGAGAGTTGGGCAAGTGGTCCGCCGAATCCTTTGATTCGCCTTAGGGGGAGACGGGGTCGTCACATGTTTGATAGTTAGTGGTGAGAGGAGCTGGGGCGGATTTAAGGTGGGGGCATAGGCCCCCACTACCCCCTTAAATTCCTATAATGCTTTATACAATTTTAATATAATTTTAAGTGTGCCCCAGAGTTTTTTTAGAAAGGATGTGAAAGAATTACGTGATTTTTTAAGTTAGTTCATAAATTAAAATTCTAAAAAAATACGCGGGGCACAAATTCCATTTGAAATAAGTTAAAAAAAAACCTTTTATTTTAACTAGCAAGTACCAATCATATCATTCACTTTCTTTGAGCCCCACTCCCCAATTTCCCTTACCTCCTCTGGTCCCCCATTTTTTTCCCACAACCGAGAGCCACTACCTTCCACAACCAAGCAGCTAACTGCTCTTTTTCTTGATCAATTCATCCAATCATATCATTCACTTCCTTTTTCCCCACTTCCAAATTTCCCTTCCCTCTACTGGTCCCTTGTTTTTCCTCCACAACTGAAAGCCATTCTTACTTCCACAACCAAATTAGTTATCAAAATATAAAAACTCGCAGTGAGCAATTGTAAATAGTTTAGTTTGTTTTTAAAATAAAATTATTATATTATAATTTTGAATTTGCCTTTTTATGTTTTTCATGGAATATATGCATCATTTGCACTTGTTGGTGAAATTTTTTTTTTTTTTGCTTAAAAACCTAGAAAAAGAGTAGGTAAAAAATTTTAGTGTTGCTTTTGTCCTCACTAAGAATTTTTTCTGACTCCGCCCCTGGAGAGGAGTATGGGGAGGGGCGAAAGAGTAAAAAAGAAAAAAAGAAAAAGAAAAACACATGCCTTGATGCAATAATGATGTTGCCAATTAGTCACTTTAGGATATTCAAAATTCATGTCAAAACATGGCAGGAGCTTCTCGGATGTTAGTCAAACTAAAATAGATGCTTCACTACTCAAATGTTAGTCAAAATAACAAGATGCTTCAATGTGTTTTGATTATGAATTCCATATATGGGGTAGGGGGTGAACGTTCGACTAAACAAGTGCATTACTACACTTTTTGACGGAGAGTTCTATCAGAGTTGAACTAAAAAGAATCCATAAAAAGAATTGAAATTTAGGAAGGTAAGAAGAAGGGAATTTTGAGAAGAAATGGGGGAGAATTTTATTCAGAAGAATGATCAATAAACGGTTACATAACCATCTTATTCTCCTAATTAGGTTATTAATAGAGGTCTCAACCCCATTCAGTAACTAAATAAGCAGTTACAACAACTAATCATCAACTAACTTTTTAGTATAATGGCATTATTTCTGATCTTTTACACCTGAAGCTAAAAATGATTAAAACAACATCCCCCTACTAATAGTTCTGATTCATGACAAATCCCTCCCATTTAAGACCATCCTTGACCTCAAGGATGAAAATCAGGAAACTACTGTTTAATGAAGTCAAGATCTTCCCAAGTAGCTTTTTCAATTCTGAAATAAACCCACTTGATGAGAATTTGAGATATAGGTTGATGATTCCTCATTATAGCCTTTCGTTTCAGGACCGATTCTGGAGCAACTTGAATCTGATCATTGGGACCAAATAAGAGCAATGTAGGCATGGAACCTAAGAATCTTCCAGCTTCTTTTTCAACATAGAAACATGAAATATTGGATGAATTTTTGAGCCTGCAGGCAACTCCACAGTATTTGAAAGCTAGTTTCAAAGATTTCCTGACTTCAACTAACTGTTGTCTATATGGCTGGAAGTTTCAAATAAACCATATCACCTACTTCCAGAACCCTTTCACTCCTCTTCTTAACTGCAAAATACTTCATTCGTTGTTGTGCCTTTGTCAAATGTTGGCAAAGAATTTGCAAGATAGCCTACCTATCTTTGACAAGATTACTTGCTGCTGGAACAACAGAATCACAGAGGGGTCCCATTGGTAACTGTACTGGTTTATATCCACAGAGAGCTTCAAATTGGGTCATGTCTAGACTAGTATGATGGTTGGTGTTATGCCACCATTCTGCTAAAGTCAGACAAGATTTTCATTTTTGTGGTCTATCACTAGTCATATATCTCAAATATGTTTCCACATACTAGTTCACGCGTTCACTTTGTCCATCTGATTGTGGGTGGTAAGATGTGCTATAATTTAGTTGAGTCCTACCAATCTGAACAACTCTTGCTAGAAAAGGCTTGTGAAAAGTTTATCTCTATTTGATACAATAATTTCTGGCAAACCATGAATCCTAAAAACGTGTTAAGAAGAGTTTGGTAACTTCCATTGCAGAAAAAGGATGCTTCAAGGAAATAAAATGGGAAAATTTGGTCAGCCTGTTCACAACTATATTATAGTATCACAGTCATCAGAAAGAGGTAAACTCTCTGTGAAGTCCATGCTGATTTGTGACCATGCTTGATTGGGAATTGGTAGAGGCTGGAATAAGCCTGCATATTAAACATTCTCATGCTTGTTTCTCTGGAAAATGTCACACCTCCTAACAAATTTTGTGACATCCATCCTCAGTTGAGGCCAAAAGAAAACAGCAGTTGAGGCCAAAAGATATTTTCTCTGAACCTTAGAATTCCATCCCTACTCATAATCTGTCACAGAAGCATAATCAACTATCAATTGAGCAATTATCTCTTGACAAGATGAATCATTCTCATAACTGTCAGAGATATCCAATAACCACTAGGGTCTGGTGCAACTTATAGCACAAGATGTCCTTATAGAATCTTCATCCTGGAATCCTCTCGTAGATAATCCATTAGCAACCTTGTTATCAGCCCCTTTCCTATTCTGGATTTCATAATCCAGTCCCAAAGCTTTGTCAAACATTGTGTTGCAGTGAAGTGGTCAACCTTTGCTCTAGTAAAAATCTCAAACTCTAGTGATTAGTTGTTATATTTAAATGGTATTTAACCAAATAGTGCTTCTATTTTGTTACTGCCATTACAGTAGCTAATAGCTGCTCATATATAGAGAGCCCCAAGTTCTTAGGACTCAAAGCTTTGCTGAGATATGCTACTAGTTGGCTCTCTTGTATTAAAACAACACCAATGCCTCTATTGCAAGCATCGGTCTCCACAATAAAATGTTTGGTGAAATCTGGCATTCTCGATACAGGAGCAGTACTCATGATGTTCTTTAGCTGTTGAAAAGTTGTCGCTGCTGTTTTGTTCCAACAAAAAGAATCCTTCTTCAATAATTCAGTCAAGGGTTTACAAATTAACTCATAGCCTTGTACAAATCTTCTGTAATAACCAGTGGGACCCAAGAACCCCCTTAGAGACTTGATTGTGTCAGGTACTGACCATGCTCTGATACACTCCACCTTAGCAACATCCATTTCTACTCCATTATGAGATATAATATGCCCCAGGTACCCCATTCTCAATTGAGCAAACCTGCGTTTAGACATTTTTGCATACAACTGGTAAGATCTCAGAATTCTTAACATTGTTCTCAGATGATTTACATAGGATTGAAGGTCTGGGCAATAAACAAGTATGTCATCAAAAAAGACTAAATGAATTCCTGAGGTAAGGCTGGAAATTTCATTCATAAGAGATTGAAAGGATGCAAGAGAATTTGTTAAGCCAAAAGGCATAATTACAAGCTCATAATGGCCTCGGTGAGTTTGAAATGGTATTTTCTGGATTCACAGGCTTTTACCCTAATCAAGTGACTCAGGTCTATTTTACTGAAAAATTTTGAGCCAAAAAGTTCATCTAAAAGTTCTTTAATGTTTGGAATGGGTTATCTATCCTAAATGGTAAGGTCATTTAGGTGTTTGTAATCAACATAGAGGCACCAAGTGCCATCTTTTTTTCTTGACAAGTAAGACAGGTGAAGAAAATGAGCTTGTACTAGGTATAATGATCCTAGTTTGAAGCATATTTCTCATCTGATTGTCAATTTTAATTTTTTGGGAATGCGGATATCGATAGGGTTTGAGTTTAAAGGGCTAAGCATTCGGCTCAAGTGGAATGGTATGATCATGTGATCTTTCAGGAGGAAATTGTTTAGGTTCTACAAATACATCAGAGAATTCATGCAATAATTCTGAGATTTCACTAGGAAATGGAGTTATCTCACTGGAGGAGCTATTCTCATGTAGTGAACTGATAGAGGACAAACTCCTATGTCTTTGTTGGATGAATTTCTTCACTGATTTTCCTCCAACCAGCTTCAGGGTTGGTTGATCAACTGTTCCCTCCAACACCATATCCCACTTTCATTTGACAACTTGATCTGCAACTGTTTAAAATCGAAAGTAATAATGCTGTAGTGTGCCATCCAATCCAATCCAAGTATTACATCCCATATTCCCAGACTCATGATCACTATAGGGAAAGAAAAATTATAACTCGGAAGACTCCAAGTCACACTTGGACAGAACAATCCACTAGAAATGGTAGTTCCATTAGCAATAGTGGCTGTAAGAGGTGCCATTTTTATTGTCTTTAACTTCAGTGATTCCATTAATGCAGTATTCAAGAAACTGTTAGTACTTCCAGTATCAACAATATAGACACAACTTTTCCTTGCATTTTACCCTGCAGTTTTAATGTCTTCCTCTTCATAGAAACTGTTTAGGCATGCAAAGACACATATACTAACTGCCCAAGATTACTAGTGTTTTCATTCTGTTCTCCAATAGCATCAAGAAATTCCAATTCCTCATCATCTTCTAGAATGAAATTTAGATGCCTATATTTACAATGGTGACTAGGGTGGAATCTTTCGCCACATTTGAAACATAGGTGGTTATTCTTTCTATACAATATATCTAGAGGGGAAATCTTTCTACTTCCTTGACTGTTGCCAGAATTCTTTTTTCTTTACACAACATTTAACGAAGTCTTTCCTCCTGTGCTAATTCCTGCAGATGAAGTACTAGAGGATTTCAAACTGTCTCCAGTGCCCCAAGCTTTATTATTCTTGGCATTCTTTCATTCAAGATTAAAAGCTGTTCTTGCCACTCTGCTACTTCAAAAGCCTCCATCAGGTGGCAGGCTTCATCATTCGAACCATAGGTTTGATTTCATCCTTAACATCACTGATGAAACTGGAAATGAAATAAGATTCAGAGAGGTAAGGATCTCGAATTAACATCAAGGAACTTAATTCCTCAAACATCTCTTGGTAGTCCTTGATAGTGGTAGTTGGTTGAGTTTATTGAACTCTTCCACTTCATCCTTTTTGTCCTGTCACCGAACATCCAACAAAACAATTTGCAGAACCCTTCCTTAGACAGTTTCCCTTTACTCCTCTTGATTCCTTGAAACCATATCTCGGCCATTCCTTCCAAATACATTTCCACAATTTCCACCTTCTGAAGCTCAGGAATTTGATGAACCAGAAAGTATTTTTCACATTTTCGGATCCACTCTTGGGGCCTATATCCTTCAAAGAAAGGAAGTTCCACCTTGGGAGGATTTGGAACCATAAACCTGCGCTCCTTATTTACTGCTGACTGCTCCCTTCCATCCTTACACCTGGCATGAGGATTAGAAAATAGAGGAGTCTTTTCCTGTGACTGGGACTCTCCTGTTGTTAATGCTCTGTCCCTATTGAGAGCTTGAAGGAAAGAAATCAGTTTCGTCTCGATTCCTACCATCATCATATCAATCTTCGTGTCAAGATCCTCAATTCTAGCATCTACATGCATTCGTTCTTGCATTTTTGTCTGCACAGAATCAGCTTGGGTTTGAACCCTAGCTTCAAGCTTCTTGAATTGCTTATGCAAATTCTTAAGTCTAGTATGATCCATCGTTGCAGCACTAGCTATGAATTTGGCCAAGGATCCAAAGCTCTAATTACCAAATTGTTAGAGTTGAACCAAAAAGAACCGAGAAAAAGAATTGAAATTGAGGAAGGAAAGAAGGAGGGAATTTTGGAAAAGAAATGGGGAGAATTTTATTCAGAAAAATCTTCAATCAATAGTTACATAACAACCTTATTCTCCTAATTTGATTATTAATAGATGTCTCAACCCCCATTTAGTAACGAAATGAGCAGTTACAACTAGGGCTGCAAACGAATCGAGCGAGCGGCTCGAGTCAAGCTCGAGTCAAACTCGAGCTCGAGCTCAGAATATTAAGCTCGTTAGCTCGCGAGCCGGCTCGCGAGCTTGGGTATATATATATATATTTTTTTTATTTTTTTTATTTAATAATAAAATTACGTATATTATATATATATTTTTTATTTTTTATTTTCATAGTAAAATTACGTATATGTCCTTAATATTTTATTATTTATTAAGAAAAAAAAATTATTTTATTTATTTTTTTTAAAATAAAATATTTATTTTTTATTTTTTTTCGAGCTCGAGCTCGGCTCGACTTGATTCGAGTCGAGCTCGAACTCGAAATTTGCCGGCTCGTCGAGCTCGAGCTCGAGCTCGAGCTTGGTAAAATTTAGTCGAGACTCGGCTCGATTAGCTCAAAACTCGACTCGACTCGACTCGTTTGCAGCCCTAGTTACAACAACTAGTCATCAACTAGCTTTTTAGAACAATGGCATCGTTATTGATCTTTTACACAAGAAGCTAAAAATGATTAAAACGACTTGCCCTACTAGTAGTTTTGATTCATGACAAGTTCTAAGAGGCTTTCCTGACCATTAGACTAAGATCCAATGGTTGAATTCCACTAATGCAATGAATAGACACTTAATTGAGTAGAGTAGAATTAAAATGAAGCAATTAAAACCAAGAAAGAGAGAAAAATCAACTTACCTTTAGAGGAATTACAATACAATCGGTCATCAATCCAAATAGGAACCCGCTCATGACACACTTATATCTGACAGGATTTGGAGCATATTTTTAAGTTAACCTGCCTTTCTCATTTATTGCTAGAAGAGAGTTACAGAAATTTTGAATGAAGATTGTAAAAATTGTAGAACTCAAAAATCAACCAAAAACTTATAAGAGATGAATTTCATAAAATCAATGTACATGAAGAGGCAATTTACACACATATAAGTATGTGTGGGAGAAAGTGAAATAAATATTAACAATATATCATTAATTATGCACCATAAAAAGCAAGCCTATCATTTCACTCTTACCAACTGATAAGATAATAAGACACCTTATTTATAGATTAAATAACTTAACAAGTCTTATAAGTCATATAATCATAAGAAATTTTATAATAAAATACTAATTTCTAAATACAAAAACTACCATTATTTGACTCGAACATAATTATTGGAATCTTAATTTGACTAAAACACTGCTAGATAATAATATAGAAACTTCTATTTTTTTAGACTTGATTTAATATGCCAACATTATCTCTCTTTAATCAAGTTTTGAATTGAATTAGGCTTACCACAAGTTTTAAATTGAATTAGGTTTACCACAATCACGAACGACAGTCTCCCTTGAAAATTCTGCTAACATCACTTTATGTGAGTTCTTTATCTTCAAATATTGTTCTCATTACAAGAATCCACGCACTTAGATAGACTGTTTTCGTCGCGCAATTTGATTTCAAATTTTTTTGGGTAAATCAGTAACTTTTATTGCTATAACCATTAAGTACAATTGACATTGCAGTCGCAATATTACAAAATATCCTCAGCAAAAATATCTGATTTCAGGATAATTTGATTTCAATTTACTAACAACTCATTATTTCTCATCACTTTGTGATTTTAATAATCACAATTTAATTGACAGGATGCTTTTTCGATCTCTATTTTCATGCTCACAATCAATTTGACAATTCTTGGATCAATCTTATTTTTCAAATTTTACCAACTAAATATCTCATGACTAACCTTGTGGTCTAATTCGATCCATTGATTTCTTCATAGCAATTTATTCTCCAACTCTAAGAGCGAAAAGCACACATGACTAGCCTCTAACTGGGTCAATTCTTCAATATTTTCAAGCACTTCAAGATCAATTTCTTGAATCAGGGCTTTGATATCATATATAAAACTTAAAAAATTTCACCAAAAAGTTATGGGAGATAAATTTCATAAAATCAAAATATATATGGGGAGGCAATTTATACACATACAAAAATGTATGAAAGAAAGGGAATAAATATCAACAATATGTCATTAATCACACATCATAATAACAAGCCTATTAATTTTTATTCTTCTCAACTGATACAATAATAATACTTCCTATTTATAAATTAAATAAGTTGGTAAACAAGTCTTGCAATCACAAGAAATTTCCTAATCAAATACTAATTTCTAAATAATAAAACTACCGTAATTTGACTAAAATAGAATTACTATAATCTTAATTTGACTAAACACTGTTAGGTAATAATATAAAAACTTCTATTTTTTGGACTTGGTTTAATATGCCAACAAAAATAATAGTAAAATCCTTCCACATGGAGATTAGAGAGCTGGTCGACTTGGTTAGGCCACAATCAAGGTCTTTAAAGTGATTATACATTCTTGGCCATCCTTTGCATTCGGTGACATGGGTTTCTCAAAAACATAAACTTTTTTTCCTTTTTTTTTAAAAAAAATTTAGAACTTCCAAATGTGTAACAGATGACTAATTGTATCAGTTAGTTCGTCAAATGCTTACCTTTGAATATCGCTTTTTTTTTGGTACGGAAAAAGTATAGCCGGCAAAAGTTTTCCCATTCCAAGATTTGAACAAGCCACAATGCATTTTTCAATGTGATTTTTACTAATAGCTACTAATAAAAAATTACTTAAGAAAGACATTAATATACGAATTTCTTTAAAGAAGGTGCACGAGTTTTATCAACTAAACCGACATCGTTGATGGGTTAATAATACTCAAACTCCCAAGGATCATCTGGATCTTTGAGGCAATAATGCGGGTTAATCACAATTAATCCCTTTAAAGTGTACCTCATTTTTCACTTTACCCTCTAACTATTTTTTTGTCTCACTTTATCTCCCATTGGACAAAATTATCTCTCTATTATTCTAAACTCTTATTTTTCTCTTTTATTTTTTTTCTTTCCTCTTTTGTGCTCCTTTATTTTCTTTGTCTCTTTCTTCTTTCTTTAATTCTTCCTCTTTCTTACAAAAAATCTTCATCTTAATTATTGAAATTAAAAAAAAATTGCACGGATCTATTTTTTCCTTGAGTGATTACAAGTATAGTTGTTAACGAGCCGAGCCGAGCCGAGCTCGAGCATGTAATAATCAAGCTCGACTCGAACCCCTAATCGAGCCAGCTCGAGCTCGCTCGATTAATAATTCGACCTTCACAAACTATTTGAGATCGACTCGACGTGATCGATAGAAAACTCGAGCTCGAGCTCGAACTCGAGTTCAAAATCGAGTCGAGCTTATCGAGCTCGAACTCGAGCCTGTCGAGTATCAAATACACAATAAAAATGACGCTAATACCCCTATTATTTGTAGTAGTTTCGAGTTCGAACTCGAGCCTATCGAGCTTGTAGAGTATCAAATACACAATGAAATGACGCTAATACCCCTACTATTCGAACCTGTCAAGCTTAAACGAGCATCAAGTTGAACTCGAGCTCGGCTCGTTTCTCTCAATAAACGAGCCGAGTCGAGCCCTTATCGAGCCAGGTCGAGCTCGGCTCGCGAGCTACCCAGTTCGATTAACAGCTCTAATTACAAGATATTTAAATCACTTTCTTAAAATATAATTTTTTAGCTTTTCAATTCTTTTAATTTTGATTTTTCCTCTTTTTTTTCTAATGTCTCATTTTATTCTCAAGAAAATATCATAAGATGAAATTGTGACCTGACTAATAATCATCAATTAAAATTTGTGACACATGGCATTATACAAAAAATCAAAATTAGTTTTTGATGCCTTTTAAACTTTCACCCAAATATGCAATTACAAATTCAATTTAAAAATTTTCGTTGAGATGGAGTTTCTATTGGGAATGATGAAAGAGAGAAGAAAGAAGAAAGAGAAAAAGAAATAAAAGAGAGGAAAAAAGATAAATGAAAAGTCAAAATAATGTAAAGGTAATTTTGTCATATAGTAAAGGTCCGGCAGTAAAGTGAAAAATGAGTTATATCTTAAGGGGATTAATTATGATTAACCCCAATAATGCTCATCTGGATCTTTGATGGGTTAAAGAAGACGTACATCTTTTTCATTGTCAAAATTATACTAGTACTACGAACCAACTCAAGGCTTCGATTAAGCAGTATACAAAAAGATTCAAAACTGTTGAGGCAAAAACAAAATGCATATTCAGGCATATTCAGGACACTATGGGTTCAATTTCTTTTTCTTTGGTGAATCATCTCCTTTCTAGGCAGCTAGCAATAATTTAATTACTTCTGTTTAGCATTTGAGAAATTACAAAAAACAGTAGTTAGAGAAAAATGTTATCAGGCAAATATTTTCAGCCTTTAAAACTTCGTAAATTTCTAGATGACCAAAAAAGTTTAATCTATATTGGAGAAATAGAATATTCACATATTGAGCAAATTACGGGTTACTCAATAAACTTTTTAAATGATATAGTTATATCCATCCAAAACATATATATTTTGGACCATTCTATCTGTTTTCACCGTTAAGTTTGTCTCTCAATTATGTCTCGTGACTGGTGCGAATCCTTGATTTTGTCAGACTTGGCAGTAGAAATAGACGGAATGGATCAAAATATACACATTTGAGAGTTAAATGAATAATATCATACTCTTAAAAGTTGAGTGGTTAAAACTATGCTATTTTAAATGTTTAGTGGTAACTAGGTAATTTGCTGTAACATATTTTACAACCCAACAATTCGAACGAAATAGGCCTAGTCATATTTGGTCCCCCGTAATCCTTTCGGGCATGCTATATTTACACCGGTAGATGAACTCAAAGGGATATTAACATAAAAACTATTTTTTGTCCTTGCATACATAAACTATTGGATTAATCTTTATACACTATCTGTGTATACACAATCCCTGTTAGATAAATAATGCATATATAAAATTTAAATTTTAAATTCAAATTTCACACATGCCTCATTTATCTAATTATGATAGTTTATATGCTGACAGTGTATATAAAATTTATTTTAATTTATTTGTCTTTATATTGCATACAAATCCAAATTGACACGGGACTCACAATCTCTCTCAGCGACAAAGAAGCCGTTAAAAGTTTGAAATTCTAATAATGGAAATTTGTGCGGTCCTAGTAGAAGTCAAGTTACATGAAGGAAATTTTAAAAACTGTTTACTTTATTAGGTTCATATGACCGGAAAATCTTTCAGGCAACTTACATAATTGACTAATTTAGAATCGAGCCCTCCGGGGTTTGGTACGGCGGTTGAGATTGTTGAAAATGGAGCCTTAAGTCCCTGGTTCGAACCTTACTGCCAACAAGTTGTGGAGGGTGGGGAATAGTCTGCGGGGTTCACTCCCTGTGGGACACCCCTAAAAAAAAAAAAAAAGACTAATTTAGAACCGGGTAAGTTGGAATTTGGATAAAGTATTATTTAAAATAATTATTGTAGTACTTTTATGATATAATGCATGTGAGATAAAAAAATTATTAAAAATATAAAAATATAAATTAAAAAATATATTTATAATGTGAATCAAATATTAAATTAGATAAAATTGGGCCATCCAAACACAGGTCAAAGTTAATTCAATTAACAAGAACTGTGACTTTCTTTTGTGCGTTCGTTGTGATTGTATTGAATCGAACCGCTTGAAACTGTTTTTTAGCAAAAGAAAAAATAAAGAAAAAAAATCTCCGAAACAATTCTTTCAAAAGTTCTGTGTCTGCACGAAGCACTTTCCCTCTATACACAAGAAAACCACAACGCATTCTAACTTTGACTCTCTCACTTGTAGCTCCCGCTCTCTGCACAAAATCCATCGACACACCGTGCCTCTCCGGTGTTGAAGAGCAAGTGTTTTGTCCAAGTCCCTGCAAAAAAGGTTGGTTATTTCTCTCTCCTGTTTCCGCTGATTTTTTCCAATACTTTTGCCCTGCTCTTTTATTTTTCTGAAAATTTCTGCCCTGTCCGAATTCTTTTCGGATCTTTTGAGTTTTGGGTGCAATCGTCTCTGTATGGTTATTTACATGATCAATTTTTTCATTCCCCAAATTTTGTTGCCGTAATATTTATTTTAGCTGAAACTTTTGCCCAATGCTTTTGCGGTGGGTTGAGTTGAATATTAAGGTAAGCTGTTAAAATCTAAAGGTTGTAGGATATGATAAGTTGTTTTAAGAGATTCAAGGGCAAGTTAATTGAGGTTTTTGTAGAGGTAAGCAGAACAGGAGCAGATGGGATGTTCTCTAATTACCGTGAATCAGATTGAGTTGGCTTTGCTCTTGACTTGAATTCTCCTTTGGTTATTCATTTTTTGTAGACTTTGTAGTTGGTGTTGTACGCTTGGAGATATTTAATTGTAGAACTTGTTTAAATTAATGAAAAGACAAATGGAAAAGGGGAAGAAAGAAACTGAACTAAACAAAAATTTGAGTCAGTGGAGTTATGGAGTAGGAGGTAAGGTTTCTTCCCTCCTTCCTGTTCGTTAAAACATCCTAAATCCGAATCCTGAATAAAAAGGGAGTTGCTGTTATCAACGGTAACTGACAGTCCCCCATTAAAGACATAGATGCATCGGCTTTTGTGTAAATTTGGGTCAAATTTTGCAATACTGGTCTTTGCTCTACCTGAATTTTCTCTATCACCAAAGCTTGCCACAAAATTCAAGCCTCACAGCTAAACTTTCCATCCTCAGTTTTACCAACTTTATCATGTTTCTCCATTTGATTTTATCATTAGTCAACATTTTTCATCCCAAAATTTAATTCTGAAGATCTCCATGGTGGATAGAAGAAAATAGAGGAGAAAAGCTCATTGGTGCAGTTGATTGTCACTGCCACTGCTGAGATTATCACTAATAAGGCTCTGTGCAAGACTCAAATTTAGTTGTAACACCTGTAGGCGGAAAAAAGAGGGATAAAATTTACAAAAACATTGGTTTGAAAGGTAAGTAGTGGTGAGTGAAAGACACTAATTGAACTATAGTTGATTCTTATGAATTTTGTTTCTTGGTTGGATGGGTTTGAATTATATGATTGGTTACTATAGTTGGTTCATATGATTTTTGTTTCTTGGTCTTGTTTTGCTTTCTGCGTTCTTTGTGATATCTTGATTTGATGTTATTACAAGAAGAAATGTGAAGATTTTTTGTTGGGTTTTACTGATTAAAAAATTAAAGTAGGTAGTTTTATTTGGGTTGTACTGTTGATTTATCAACTGATTTGGTATATGCTTGTTTACTTAGCTTCTTGTCAAGCAAAGGAAGAAAGGAAAAAAGTAGGCTAACTTTTACTGTTTAAGTCTTAGGGTTATGTAAATACACCAAAGTATGTACTTAATGACTTGGTTATTATATGTTCTAAATATTATTCTGTTATTGCAGGATATCGTTTTAACACTTATTGCCGCTCAAGAGGTGTGCTTTATTAATCTATCCAACGACTTATAGTCTCTCATAACTACCTCCAACTTGTAAAAAGACTTGATTATGTCTGTATTGTTGTTAAAATTGGTTGGAGCATGATGATCATTGTAGTGTTAATAATCACTGCCAGATACTTTGATTGAAAGCTGTTTGATGTTTTATATTCTATTCTCCCATATCTGTTTATTTTATTGCAGCTGTTCAACCTAAAATTGAATTTTCTGGTTCATGTGGAAGAGTGTAGTGTTCGGGAAAGCCATATTTTGGTTAGGTGTAGTGCAGGGATAGATGTCTATGCGAGTGTATTTAACACGCCTTCACAAGATTTAGAATATTACCAAACTTTGCACTTAAACATGGGTGATTAGTACTCATTGTAAGTTGATAGAATTGATAAATTTTCGAATTCTTGTTCTATTGAGAAATCTGATATTTTCCCTTATATACACTCTACTATTCTCTTCAAAATTCAGGTTTAAAGAGAAATAGTTTTTGGAACCAAGAAGCAGAGAAAAAGCTAAGAAATTTCCCCATTTTGTCTATCCGGTTTGCTTTCTTACTTTATCTCTAATTGCATTGATTACCTAAGAGTACCATGGGCTTTCATGTAATTTTGAACTTTATTTTTTTATTTTGCTTGGAATATAAAATCTTGTTTTTACTTCTCTATTTGGCTGGTTTTTGCTATTAATGACTGTGTTTTTATTGTGACTTATATTTAAAAAGTTTGTTCTGTCATTGAACTTTTCAAGAGAGAGCAGAAAATTTTCTTTTAGTTTAAATTGACGTCCTACTGTTCATTTATGTTGTGTTGGTGAAAAGGTGGCATGAATGAAAGATATCTACATGATTTATAGGCTAAAATGCATATGCTGTCTTTTGGCTTTCTATTGTTTATTATTTATTTATTCAGCATTCATGTTTGAGGAAGGCTGGCAAGAGGTATCATTCAAATACGATGGTGGCTCAAAATGCACATGCTGTTTTTTGGCTTTATGTTCTTTATTTATTTATCCAGCATTAATGTTTGAGAAAAAAATTGATTGACAATAGGTATTATTCAAAGATAATGGTGGCTCAAACTTAGGAGTACGGAATGTGCTCTTGACTGCTTTGTTTCATATTTGGTCCTTTAGTATTTCCTTAAAATTTCACAACAAAGCATGGCAAAGACTGGTGGTGCGTTACCTGTGGTTTAACAAGATTGTCATTCTGTTATTTATACAAGATGTTTTTAAATTCTAATATGATTCCTTCTTGGCAGATCTGATTGATGTTTAGATAGTGGAAACTTGGAAGCTAATGGGGTTTTGTCATGAGTGCTTGATACTTTGTTTTTCCTTTCTTTCTAATATCTTTAGCAAACAGTCATTATTTAATTGTATAATCACTTACTATAGCATAGACATCGAATTTTGTGATGATTCTTTTTTATCTTTCAGCACTAATACATACTTCAAGTAGAATTTTTTGATTGCACCAGACACTAACCAAGCGAAGACTAGAGGCATTTCTAGACATACCAGCCAAAGAGAACTTTTGGATGAATGTATCTTTAATAGTAACTTATTTCCTTTTCACAAGTAATGACACACATTTTACATTGGGAGAGCCTACCTCAATTATACATGTTATTATGCTCCTCAACTTTAGTAGTATTAATGTTAACTCTTATTTGCCTTGGTTCTTACCTAAATTAATCATAACTGAAATGTTGACAAAATCCTTCAATTATCTACCGCACATAGAAATTATAAAAAAAAATTATTGGAAAAATACAGCCCCTGAGGGCTCTGGGCAACCATGTTAACTTCACACCATGCATTGCATGGTGATCCCCTCCTTGTCTATCTCTAAGCAGATATAATTTCTCCTTATCGGACCCTCTCCAGTCTGTTGTTTGTGGTTTTCATCGTCTGTTTTTTGCTTGTTTTGACGAGTAGACCTTTTTTTTTTTTTTGGTTAAAAAAAAAATAGAGTTAGAACAGAGAAGAGCAAATCCGGATTGTGCACACCAAATGTTGTTTTCTATTTTTGATATAGGAGTTATTAGTTTATATGGTTGCATCCAAGCAACAGTATCGGATTGATGTGGTTTCATCTTGGTACTTGGATTTATGGGTTGTAACTGTTGAGTACAAGAATGACGAATTTGTCTGTAGTTTCTGTGGATATAACAATTGTTTAGTTCATAAACTGAAATATTTTTCTCAATTGAAATATTGAAAGCAGAGGTATGTTCATAGTTGAGAACTTCCTTAATTGCGATACTTTGGGGGCCTTTTGAATTGCTAAAGATGTAGAGCATGTTTAGCTTGCTAAAAGGTGTATGCTTGTTTTGGGGACTTAAAGTTTGTCAGCCCTTAAACAGAGTGTATACATGAAGTGGAACTCCGCATGCTTCCTCATTCAAGGAATTATGTGAGTTTAGAAATAATTTTATGCAATTATTTCTTCCACTTGATCAGTGTTGCAGTTGTAATTTTTCTTTTCCTATTGTTGTTTAATAAAGGTTCCAGTTTGAGGTATGGCTCTTATGTTGATGCCATAGTTGCTAAATCTGAGGTGCAAAGAATATGTATGTTCCTATTGTAAGCAGGGTTCCTTTGGGTGTGATTAGAGGTGTCAAAATGGGTGACTTGGACGGGTTTGGGTTGGGTAAAATGGGTAATGGGTATAAGTAAGTCAACTCATTTATACCCATTTAATTAGATGGGTATAAATGGGTAAGTCAAAAAATGAATTAGGTAACCCAATTACCCATTTATAACCCATTTATTTTAACTTTTTGTAAACTCATTTAAATTCATTTTTACAAACTAAGTTATCAATTTATACCACTCTTTGTACCCATCATTAGTTTTAAATATTTACTTATAATGTTCAATAAACTTAATTACCAATTTTTTTTCATTTATACTCTATGTCACAAAATTACCTATTATTTAATAATTGAATAATAAGAATATAAAAATTTGAACTAAGTACTATAAAAATTAATATAAAAACTTAATCCAAAAATTTTGAACCCCTAACATTTTTTCATATATAAATTTAAAATTTCATTTTATAAAGATAAGAAAATAGGCTAAAATTTATCATAAATTGGTAATGCTAAAAAATGAGTAAGTTAACAAACTAAGAGAAAATAAAATAATAAGATAAAACCAACAAATAATAATAATAATAATAATAATAATCATCATCATCAAACAAAAGTAGTTAACATCATGACAAAATGAAAAATTTGAAAAAAAAAAGGTGGGGGAAAAGAAGAGACTTGGGGAAGAGAATTCTAAATGGGTTAATTGGATTTGATGGCTTACCCAATAATACCCATAATCCATTATACCCATAGAAAAAAATTTAAGATACCCATACCCATCTATTCATGGGCGGGTATGGGTAAATTTAGTTGAGTGGGTTGATTTGCCACCTCTAGGTGTGATCATTTTTTAGAGGAAATGGGAACTATAACTGCTAAATATTTCCCAATTTCCATTGGACAGCTTAGCTAGTAAAAAATTGCCAGAGTTTCATAATTCAGTTGTTGTGCCCCTGTAAAAGATATTTTATAAAGCTGATAGTACGTAGATTTTGGTCTAGACTTTCATAATTTGGTTGTTACTCCAAGTTTTAACCAATTATAGTTTCTTTAATATTTAAGAGACGAATGGGTAGGATATAAGAAACTTAAGCCCTATATAATTCTCCCTTGCAACTTTATAAGGTTGAAAAGCTAAATACTGACTACAGTGATATTAAGGTAGGCTTGAGCGGAGTTTGATTGCAGAAAATGGGAGAGGGATCAGGAGAGGAGGACATGCCTAGAGATGCAAAGATCGTGAAATCTCTACTAAAATCAATGGGTGTGGAAGACTATGAGCCTCGTGTTATCCACCAATTCTTGGAACTTTGGTACAGGTACGTGGTGGATGTGCTTACAGATGCACAAATTTACTCAGACCATGCTGGCAAATCTGTGATCGATTCTGATGATGTCAAGCTTGCCATTCAGTCCAAAGTCAATTTTAGCTTCTCACAACCTCCTCCACGTGAGGTATATTCTTCATTAAGTTAACCCACAGCCCTATTTTCATCCTAATAGCCATTATTACTAGTAGTAGTAGTAGTAGTAATTTTCTCTCCTCCTTTCTCCCTGTGAGGATTTTCAATTGATTGTTGAGAATTTCAAGTTTTGTGCTTATTGAGCCACTCCAACAAAGCTGATTGAATTCAGATTGAATAAGATTAAACATAATTCAAGATTGTTACTGAAAATTAGATTTAATTGAAAATACAAAAACAAGCTTGAAATTCTCCTGCTCCCAAGCTAACTGTTACTCGGAAGTAGTGTTCTAAAAGGCATTTTTGGGCATGTCCCAAATGCCTTAGGGCGTTTGAATGGGGCATAAGTCTTGTTAGGCGTTTGGGGCATCCCCCCCCCCCCCCTCCCTGTTTAAGTCTAAACTTTGATTTTACTATTTTTTCTTCCTTGTCTTTGCTTATAGTCCTTCTTATTGTTCAGTAATTTGAAGAATGATTCCATTTATCTTCTCTATGGAGATAGTTTGGAGAAAATACTAAGTTCAAGCGTCCATGACTTTGTTTCCTATATGTTTGTCCCTTTTCATTTGTCCTAAGATATATTTATTTTTTGCTAACATGATTCTAGATGGTGAATATATGGATTAGAGTTATGTTATGATTTTACTTGTTAGACAACAATAATGTTTTTTTTTAGTTTTTCTTAATTTTATCAATTTTTGTGTGTGTGTGTGTGTAAACACGTGTATGAATATTGTAATTTCGTAGTATTATTGCATATTTTATACTTTCATATGTTTAAAAAAAATCAAAATTTGTGGGGCTTACGCTCCATATCTTAGGGCTTTTACCCCACTTGGGCGAACATGGATCGCTCCGTCCAACGCCCTTGCGTTTAAACCATTGCTCAGAAGCACCACACTGCCTGAGGTATTTATATAGCACCACACTGCTGAAGATGCAGTGTCAAATTCCGGGAATTTGCTGCTTTTACCAGCTCTCCTTAATCCTGAGTTGTTGATTTGTCTGAATGTTTTTTGTTTTATTGTCATTCGCAATGTATTCTTTTTATGGAACCTGGAAGATGATATGTGAGTTTTTGAGGTGAAGTTGCAGCATTTAAAATTGTAATATTAGGGAAAGCCCTCTTCCAACTGACATGCAAATAACATACCTAGTCTTGTGTCCTAGCAGTGTACTTACTAACAATTTTGTATTGATTACTGTTCAGGTCCTACTAGAGCTAGCTAGGAATAGAAACAAGACCCCTCTACCAAAATCAATTGCCGGGCCTGGAATTCCACTTCCTCCTGAACAGCATACCCTAATCAGTCCCAACTACCAATTTGCTATTACAAAGAAACAAAGCAAGGAAGCAGTTGAGGAAACAGAGGATGATGAAGAGGCTGCTGATCCTAACCTTAACCCTTCTCAAGAGCAAAGAATAGATGCTTCACTAGGCGCCGCTCAGCGTGTATCTTTTCCAATTGGACCCAAACGATCAAAATGAGCATTTTAATCTCAATGGCAGTTGCCAAAAATCATATAGTGGTCGATTGTATGTTTGGGCTTATATATAGTTCTGCTCGCTGCGAAGTTCCCAGGAAGATTGACATTTGTCATCTCCATTTCTTGACTCCTTTCTCATAAGCTAGTCCTTTCTTGTAAGCTAGGATTCAGTGGTTGGTTGTTTAACCTGTGGCTTTTATGACCGTTGGTGATGCAATCCTGGGCAGTGTAAAATTCGTCCCTAAAATGAGACTCTGAAAATGTTTTCATACTGGGAGAAGACAAACTGGAGAATTGTATGTATCCTGGATGCACGATTGTTTGTGTTCCTCGAATGATCCTTCTTTTATTGTTACTAACACTCCAGTAAATTTGCTCACATCCAGTGGAAAGTTATAACTTTTCTATAACTTTTTGAAGAATTTGTGTTCTTAATCATCCGCAATGCTTTGGGCTGGTTCATGTATCCTGCTTTAGGTTCAATTAGAGTTATATTTGACTAGAAATGATGATTTCTGCGGTGGTTCAATAGTTGAGTAGGAAAAAGTCACCTGGTAAAACAAAAAAGTTATACCGGAAATTCAGGCCACGATGCCAGTAGAAACCAGTGAGAAGGTGCCTCACGCCTCAAAGCTAGATCCATATTCCATTGTAAATGTACGGCCGCCTCCCCTCGGGGCAGAAAACCTAGCTCTAGTAAAATCTCACCTGGATCATCAGGCGAGAACAAATAACTGTTTGATCGTCATTTTCCTTTTACTTCACGTGCCCTGCAAAATTTTCGTCCGGCGACAATACCCCCGAGCCCAAAAAATGACCGGAAAATTCTTGCAAGGTAAAGTTAGGATAGATAATCTTACCTTATTTGTCTACAATGCACGTGAACGTTCCAGAAAGTCACATCACATTCTTGTTAGTTTTGGTTATTGGTGAAGAAATCTGCAGACTAACAAAACTGGAAGGCAACATGATTAACAACCTGGTGCTAGTATCTAAACACAAAGCAACACGCATACATTTATCTGAAGCTGTTCTGTACAGATATTATGATATATATACACACACATACACAAAAGAATGAGTAATTTGTCCATGGTACCCTATTACTACACGTAAAGTATCAGAACGGGTCAGCTGCTCGAGGCAATCATTGAACTGCGCGAGAAGTTGGTATGGTGAGTCCTCTGTCGTACATGCGCTAAATCTCCTCCCTGTACTCCATCAATGATTTATCTGGTATTGCCGGAGTTAATTCCACAACAACAGAACAACTCCCATTTTTAGCTTGCACATGGGGTCTCTTATAGTTGCAAGGTTCTTGACCCAAAAAAAAAAAAAAAGTTGCATGGTTCAGTGGGGGCCTAAGCTCCTCCAGTAGAGTTCGCTTATAGTTGCATGGCCTAACCATGGCCCTTGATGGTCGAGTTCGCTCGAAATTCCTGTATAGACTCTGCAACACCAAAAAAGTTACTATCTTTCTTGAGTTTTAAGGTAAGTTGCTAAGGAACTTCCTCTTTGTTCTTACTAATGGTAAAATAGTGGTTTCTAGTGGCCAAAATTGCTATTTTGTGGAAGATTTATGGTTGAAAGTAGACTTTTGATCAATTTTAGATTTATGGTGTAAATTGAAACTTGTGTATATTAGTTGTGATGGTTTGCGAAAAATTTCCGTTTGTAGGGTAAATTTCAGTATTAGGGTTTCTAATTTGGGGCTTAATTGTGTTTAATTGTGGAGCTATCAAATGGTTATATGTGAAGGGTGTTGTGACCCTAAAAAAGTGTATTTACTAGCTATGATTTGTGTGTGCTATTTTGAATGAATATTGGTGGTTGTTGTAGGACGGAAATAAGGAAATTTAAGGGGAAGTGCTGTCCAATCTTTAAGGACGTTTGATCGTCTTGAGTTTTAGTTAACTCTTGGTAGAAATGAAGAGCTTGGAGTTGATCGAGGAAACTGTCTATGATGGATGAGGTTCATGAGCTGTGGTTGGTGAGTGATCCCCCAAACTACTTCCAAATTTACTTATGAACTGTTTTTTGCACTGTTTACTCGATTGCATATCATGAGTGCTTGTATGTGTACCATGAAATGATTTGGCATCAATGAGTTCTTGGAAAGTCTTGTGCTTAGAACCAACATCTCTACCACTGTTTACCTGGAGCATTGATGGTTCCCTATTACTATTTGACTATTCATTTATCTGTTTGAGCGTTGGAGTTCTAAGTACGAGGATTTCACTGGCTCACAAGAGTAATAAACTTTCATTTGAACACTGAGTCACACCATCATCTAAATGCATTACTGTGAAATGTACTTGATTCTTGATTTTACTGGTCACTCGCTGAGCTCACCTCAAAATAATTTCCTCCCCACAGGGTTCGAGACAAAGAAAGCATTTGTATTAAGTTCTCCGGGTGACTAGATGGATTATCTCCTGTCTAGTTTGAGTTTTAGATTCTTCTTGTGTAATAGTGGAGATTGTATAAAGGTTTGGAATTGAACGAATGTATGTGTACGTTCCACGCTTGGGAACTAGTATTCGCTTCCCTTGTGTTATGTAATTCATGGAGAATTTGATGTAATATTTGAGATGTGCATTGTAATTTAATTGAGGACTGTAGTGAGTGAGTGAGTCCCGGCGAGAGTTTATATATATATATATATATATATATATATATATATATATGCATAAGTGCATTGCAGCTACAGCTGCATACAAATTCTATTAGAACTTGCATTGATGAATTATTTGAACACAATTTGATCGCGATCCTGAGAATTAAGCATATATATCAAATCATAGTGAATAAAGATGATGAGGAAGCCGAGGCTCAACAACGGCAACAAGCGGGAACTTCCTCGGTGTTGAAAGCCCGATGATTTCTTCCATGTCCAACTCCTCTGGATTCATATCACCTGGCAACTTCCAGTTGTATCCATGTAAAAGATTGGCCAAAGTGGATTGGACAACCTTAAGGCCTAAACTGTACCCCGGGCACATTCTTCTTCCAGAACCAAAAGGCAACAACTCGTAGTCTTGCCCTTTGACATCAGTTTCCTTTCCAATGAATCTTTCAGGGTAAAATTCCTGGGGGTTTTTCCACAATTCGTGATCCCTCCCAATTGACCAAACATTAATGAGAACTCGAGTTCCCTTTTGGACATCGTACCCTGCAACATTGCAATCTTCGCGGGCACATCTTGGCACCAGCATTGGTGCCACAGGGTGCATACGCATTGTTTCTTTAACAATAGCTTCTATGTAAGGAAGGTTTGGGATGTCCTTCTCTGTTACCCATCGGTTCTGACCGATAGCCTCGTCAAGTTCTTGGGTTGCCTTTTCGAATAATTCTGGCTTTTTCAGCAACTCCGAAATGGCCCATTCGACTGTTATCGCTGAGCTCTCAGTTCCACCAAGAAGTAGGTCCTGGAGTTCATTCATTATTCGAAAACATTTCAGTGCAATTATTAAAGTTATCGGAATAATTTGTACTTTCGGTTCCACCAAGAAGTAGCTCCTGGAGTTCATTCGTTGCGAAAAAATGCAATTATTAAAGTTTATATATATATATATATATATATATATATATATATATATATATTACAAATAGAGCCACTATACCAGAGTGAATGCTTTGACTCCATGCCTCTCCAGCTTCACCTCTAAAGTCTGATCCTCCGCAAGGTCCAGAAGGACGTCCACCATGTCCTTGCTTACATGATTCTGTTCATCATTCCTCATCCTGGCCGCATTATGCTCATCCAGGACATGCTCCAGAAACCAGTCGAATTTCTTGCTCAGGGCTTTCAGCCTCTTAATATACCCCTGCAAATCCAAGAAATTCAGCCAAGGTATTGAATCACCAATGTTAAGGACTCCATTGAGCAAAAGAAGCTCGTCCATCATTTTCACGAACTCTTTAGGCGTGATGATTGAGTTCTGATCAGACTCGTCCAAGTATCTTTTCCCCAACACCATCCTACTAATCACGTTCAAGGTCATAGTTGTGAGATAATCTTTCAACAAGACAGGCTTGCCTAAAGATTGGAACAGCCCCAGAAGAAGTGAGTTCATTTCTTCCACACGAATATGTTCATAGGACTCGAGTCTTTTTGCGCTGAACAATTCCATGAGGCACATCTTACGCGCCTGGCGCCAGTATGGTCCGTAAGGGGACCATATGATGTCAGAGAAGTTATAGCTGGTATACTTTCCAGCTGCAGTTTTGGGCCTATCAGCAAAAGTGACGTCCATGGTCTTGAGGAAAACTTTGGCCATCTCCATGGAGGAGCCGACCACAACGGGGAAGGAGCCAAAACGGAGGTGCATTAGGGGACCATATGTTAGGGAGAGTTGATGGAGTGAACGATGAGGGAGGGTGCCAATGAGGTTTAAGTTTCCAACGATAGGCCAGGGCTTTGGACCTGGAGGGAGGTTGAGTTTTTTCTGATGAAAACGCCTACAAAGGAGCGCGATGACCATCGTTGCAAGCCATGCGACTGCGTAGGCGGCCCAACTGGTGGTGAGGGTGAAAGAAATCTCCATTTCTTTTGGTGTGTGTGTGTGTGTGGAAGGGTGTTTTAATGAGCATGGAGCCTTGAAGGGGTGCTATATAAAGTTGTGGAACTGGCCGAGTAATTAACTACTACTGCCAAGAACTCATACAATTATGAACGGTCTGTCGGCCAATGGTCAATTGAAATCAGTGTTTTAAAAGGCGAAGGTATTGCAAATGGGACGAAAGGCCCAAGCGTAAGCCCCACAAATTTTTATTTTTAAAAAATATATAAATATGATATATATTATAAAAAATTCATTTGAAGATACAAATAAATATAATAAAATTAGATAAAATTAAGAAAATTTATACAAATAAGAATTATTATTGTATAACTTCAACTGATAATTTAAGAAACATGCATATTAACATTAGCTGCACCAAAAAGCAAAATAATTAACATTACAAAAAGTTTAATCTTAGACACAAACTAGTCACAATTCAAAAGTCACCACATTATCAAGCACTTAAATTACAAATACATAAATTCAAGTAGACACAAACTTCAAAGGTTAATTGTTTCAACAAACACACTTAACTAGTATCAAAAATAAAATACCAAATTAGCAACCATATTGCTTATAATGCATAACAAGGAATAACACCAATAATTAGAAATAAACTGACAAATAAAATGATACTATTCATCAAAGTCAATATCATCCATGTGATCATCTTTATCTAGTGTATATACACTAGGTAATTTTTTTCCAATAGTTGATGGTGGTTTTGAAATTTCCATCCTATCACAGGATCCAATCTACAGGTAACAATCTCTTTTTCTTTACCTTTTTTGCCTAACCATATATTATATTACAAAA